GAGTGCTGACTGGTAGTTCCATTTGCTAGGGCCACATTTTCCACATTTCCCGGCATGTGCCTCCACAGTCTATGGGCGGGGCGGGTAGTTGACGAAGTGCCAGAAACAATCAACTGTAGAAAATTGAACGTCTGAGACAGTATTAAGCTGCTTATGAATGAGACTGAAATAGAATATGTAGGCCAGGCAACTGATAATGTATTCGAGGCGAAGAGAAAAAAAATCATGAAAACAAAATTCCACTGAATATGCATGTAACAACATCGCACGAATACGAGAAATAATTGAAGGAGACGAAATAAACAGCCAGCCTTTCATTTCGCTCTAATACGAAAGACCTATTAAAAAAGGTGGCAGTCCTACAGGAAGGGCAGCACAGTTATACATAACTAACGACATGCGATGACCTTGACTTGCGATCGAATTGTGGAAATGGTACCATTGAATATGCCGTATCGGCAAGTACCGCATAAGGATTACGAAGTACATAAATATGATAGGGAAGTCGTTTAATCGGCTTATTGGAGGGCTATAGCAAGGCGTTTATGTAAATTTTTTATGTCGAGGGTTAGCATCATAGGAAATATTGTCAGCCACAAAAAAGTGTTGGTGCTGTTTTTGAACGGTAGCGAAATAATAATGTTATAAAAAACGGGTTTAAACTTTGCGATTTATCCCGCCGTAAAATAATTACCCTCAACAAGTAATACACTTTCCCATTCAGACGCAAGAACATATATTCCATTTTTGTAAAAATCTTGCTTCTGGGAATCAAAGAAATGTTTTAGTTCGTTGTCCAAAGCCACTTCATTTTCAAATCGCCGATTCCTCATGTGGTTGTCCAAGGCCAAAAACAGATGATAGTCACTTGGAGCAAGGTCTGGCGAGTACGGAGGGTGAGGTAGAATTCCCCATCCTAGTCGCGCTATTGTTTCCTGTGCGATTCTTGCCGTGCGTGTCTACGTGTCCTGACTGGTGGAAAACCACAACTTTTTTCTGTTCGCCTTAATTGAAAGTAATCTAAATTAACAAATACACTGAATGACACTCCTTGACATATGTCTTAACATGTATTCAAAGTTACTACCACTAGATCCAGTTTACTGAATATACTTCATAAAAGTAAACAAAAAAACGCCGCACGAACATTATTGGTTTTTGCTCTGAATACATTCACTGATTCTAGCTTAGTGCAAAGTTGATAGTACCATACGAAATAGTTAGGCTAACAGTTGGACTAACTATGAGCCTGAAGTTGAGTGCCGAAGAAGGGGTGACCCCACAGTAGGTATTATTCTGTGTTTTGCCTCCAGGAATGATGTTCGTGAATTCGACTCCCAGGGCTCAATGAAATAAGGGGAGATTCGTGAACGCCGAAGCGTTGTGACCAATTGCGCTCTCCCAATCGCGAAGAGCAGCAAATAGCCGCACCTTTTACAAACTGAGCGCGATCTTGAAAGCGGAGCTGGCACGATAAATCCCACAAGGACATGTAGGGATAGAGGGCGAGATGGACAGGAATCTTACCCGCCCTGTGGGCAGGCGCTTCCTTGGCGGCTTTCCCAAAGTACCTCCATGCAGCGGTCTTTCAAGCTTTAAGGACGTGAAAACCCACCCGCAATCTGCGTCCTCAGCACAAATGTCTGACAAATGCTGATGCTCGTATGGCTTCATTTGAGGAGTACAATATAAAAAGAAGGGACTGAAAGCGGCCGCGGTGCTGCATGGATATACAGAGTACATACATGCAGCCGTATATATCGTAGCGTTTACTGGTACGATGCCAACGGGAAACTCGTCCAAAATCGCTTTCTCTGTTATATAGGACAAAGGCTTGTTCAGCAGGTTTTTGCGCATCCGCTGTCACACGCGTTCGCCTCATTTTCCCTCTATAGACACCCTACCTTATGCTTTGATATTGCAGGTCCAGCAAAGCTTCTTTTGCTGAATTATACAGGTACTGACCTGATCAGTTATCAATGAATACCTTGCGAGTAACGTGCTCATGCACACTAGCCTCGGTGGCACTCTCTTTTGAAAATTTTCGGCGAAAGGATGCCGTTTTCCAAAAATTGTTCTCTATCCGTAGTCCTAAAGTATAATGTTCTTATGCAAAGTGAAGATTTACTATACAGTGAAGGACACAGAAGAAAGAGGAAATCGTTCCAATCGAATAGGACCAAAAGTTCAGGTCAATGGTAAGACAGTCAAATATCTTGACCCCGATATCTTTCACAGAAACCAGTCAGCTGAAACTGCTTTCAAGCAATGGTAAACAATAAGTAAATAGAGGAGGTGATTCGTTCTTCATTCCCGAGTGCCCTTTGAAAATTGAAGATGATAAAGTACGCTGTCAATTTGACGAATGACCACGTGAAACTCCTATCCAGAAAAAAAATAGTAACAGCTGATGTTAACAGCTGTGTGCGGTGATAATTCATGTATCATGGTACCCTTGGAAACAAGGAAAAAAGGGTCGTGGGAAGCGGGGGGGGGGGGAAAGTGGAATGATAGTAGTTGCACTCCAATTACCCTTTTAGTGATTCATTCACTGGGAGGGCCGTTCAGATCAAGAATCGTATGGGGGGGGGGGGGAACATTCACTGGGAGTTTCTCTTCGTATAAATGTGCTCGCTGTAAATGCGCTGGAAAGTGGGCCTATGTGCCATTGCTTCTGCATTGCAAAGCCCTTGCTTTTTTTCGCTGAAAAACCCTTATTTCGTCGAAATTTCACTGTTTTAAAAATTCCCCGCGCAAAAAAAAATTTGTCTTTCCGAAGAAGTGAGTTCTTTATCACCATGGCCCATATTGCAACAAAGCGCTTTTGGAAGGCATTTTTCACTCGTGACTCAGTCCTGCTTCGAGATGCGTCACAAACTGGGCTTAACAGTTGGTTGCATCTAGACGCACGCTGATGTATGAAGCGTTTGTAGTGTCTTATATAGACCACAGGCTTTCTCGTCCTCATACTCAATGACAGCTACCAAGTTGCAGTCTATCGAAAATAAATATTATTTATTGGTCACAAATGTCTCAGAAATATAGCATACGAACAAATTAATTTTGCTTGACAGTCTTCATGTTCGCGTTCGTTGGACCTTTCTGGACGTGTTTCAGCAGTTTCTTAGTTTTCCGGTGGCTGGAACGGTAATTTATTTTATCGTAAGCATATGTTCCCGTACAAAGGATAATGCTAACGTACTTCTGCATTACTGCAAAAATTCCGAAGGCTATAAGTGAAAGGTTGGTAGCAGCAGATGCGATGAAATACCAAAGCCAGGGAGTATTGGACCTTTCACATCCTTGTGGACACACGTAGTTGTACATAGCACGAGGTTTGGACTGAATAAAGTGATATTACCGCGGAAATTCACAGATATTTGACATAGATAGGATTGTAGGACTACGGCGGCGTTCAGACTTCGCCACGACAGGCGCGGACGCGTAGCAAAAAGTGTTAACACGAGCACAGTCGCAGAGGGGAGTCGATCGACGCCGCTCGTGTATTGAGAGAGTATGGAGGAAAAGGGGGGTACGCGTCTTCTAGTTGTGCAGTCTGGTATCGATCGGCACTAGCCTTCAGCGGCGCCGCTCGATATTCCCGTTTGCGGCTGCGTTCGCGTCCATAGGATTGAAGCGCTGATGCAATGGAAGCGCGTTACAGCGCATGGTCGCGCGTCGACCTGTGTGTCAGCGCTCAGACGCGCCTCATCGCGAAGTCTAAGTGTTGCAGGTTCTTTCGCTTCGAAAAGCAACGTTCGCATCGGGTCTGCGGATTTGATTCCTTATCCACAGAAACAACTGTACTCCTCACGTGATAGCAGAATGTTACTTAAAATGAAGGAGATATAAAATATCATCGATGGAAGTATTATACATCGAGCGCTCACCATAACATCATTCACGAGAGCTTCTACTATAGGTCTGGTGCCATCAACTGTGAGGAGTCCTTTCTCATCCTCGATATTGGCAGAGTGAACCTGAAACTTGTTCAAATTAAGCAGTTTCGTTTTTTGGAGATATCATTAATACATTGGCGTAGTGTGTATGAGAGTATCAATTTGCGGTCAACTCTCTTCCCCCCCCCCCCCCCATTGAGAAAAAGCGCGACATTCCAGTTTTTGTTTTTGTAGAATAGATCGCATCACCCAATCAATACTCCATATTAGTTTCATTAACTATTCTTTTCTGCAATCCATTCTCGGACCTAAACGCCCTGCAGAAGAGAACAGTCGTACAAAAACTTACTGTAGCCATCACATCGAGCGTGGAAGACACGATTTGTTGCCCTGTTAGAGCTACATGATTTGAAGGAAGAGACGCCAAGTTGAGCTAAAAAAAATTTCACTAGGATAAAATTAGGCAGTGCTTAACCAGTGTAGGAGTGATCAGTGGATGAAAGTTAAAACAAAACCAAATAGTCATCAGGCCGTCCAATTCAAAAACGTGCACGGCAGCATTCAAACAAAGTAAAAGAGAAACCAACCAGCCAGCCGCACGCCTAACCATGGCCGAACCGGCTAATTGTCTGGATCTCTCACTACCGGTTGTTCCCTACCCACGACTGCGTCGGTGAGGGTTGTTGAAATCAACGCAAGTGCTGCACCATGAGTATGGCGCGGGCGGGTATGGAAACGGCACCCGCGCATACCAGCCAGCTCCACTACTATGCATTTTGACGGTCAAAAGACCTTTTCAGGGAAGCAGCGGGTTTCTGGTAGTCCATAGAATATCACACGCAACAATCAATACGTTTAATACTCTCCATAACTGCACAGTCGCGGGCGCGACATTGTAACCACGCCCACTACGAGACGGCTGACCTTTCCCCCCCACTAAAAAATAGTTTTACCTGCGAAGCGACGTAGTTCCTCATTATTCCAAATAATGTGCGCTCAAAATACTCCAGGGTTTTATTGAAACAGGAGAGATCCTCAAAACAGTCAGTTTGTTTAGATTTGAACTTTTATGTGCCGAGAGTTACTTCGAACCTTATTAGTAGTTACAGAACATTTCGACGAACATCCGGTAGTAATGTCAGTAAAGTAGTCACATTGTCCTCCCACGTGAAGACTTGCAATGATACACCAAATCTGAATTCAAGGAGCAAGTAACTTGGGAAACGTTGACAGTACTTTGCAACATAAATTATTACTTTGGCATAAGCAGTTAGAACAAACAAAAAAACACGTAAAATTTGAGAGAGATGAAACATCTGCAGAGCTTAAGACACTGCTCGCGCTGGTGATTCGTGGGCGTCATTCTCTGTAAAATTAGTATGGTCCCCAGTCTTCAAGATTATCCCGCTGTCGCGGCTCTACAGATAATAAAAATGCTATGGCCGTCAAAAGTGGGAATTCTGACGCTTCTAGTTGCACCGCCCACCGAAACAGAAGGGCAGTTCTAATCAGAGTCCAATTTTTGCCCCATGTTTTTCGTTTTCTTTTCTCACTGTTAGATAGCATTAGCATCGGAATATACGCGAAAAAGCGATTAGTGAGCCAGGGGCGGCAGGACGTTGGCATAAAACGAGCGGATCCGGAAAAGTCGTCCAGAGAAGCTGACAGATCTCTAACTTGGGGTGTTCCCCATGATTTTTTTTTGTTTTTTTCTCGCAAAGAGTTCTTATCATCCACCGTACACAATCGCCCTTAAAGGCAGTTGGCACGATAAATCCCTGAGAAGAGTAGATTAATACGCTTGGCAGGACATAATTTTGCGCCCCTGAGCAGGCGCTGCGTAGCCTCTTTTCCAAGGAAGGTACCCTTATAAGGCCCTATCAAGCTGCAACATACCGACCCGGACGCCACCCACGCCAACAAGTGGACGACCATTACTGATGCTTGTTTTGGTTTTGGTTCATTTGCGAAGTAAAATATGAATTGAAATGTAGCGGCCGCAGTGTTGCATGGAGAAAACATACGTGCAGCTGTATCTACCGCAGCGGTTATTGGCAAGATGCCTACGGGAAACTCGTCCGAAATTGCTTTTTGAGTCATTGAGAACGAAGGCTTTTCTTGGCAGGTTTTGACCATTTCACCTCGTTTTTAAAAGTTTTTCCTCCATTTTGCCACTAATTAGTACCCTGCTAGCATTTTAGACCAACTACAAAATTATCGTGGGATATTCCTCCGAGGCGAAGATACGTTCTTTACATGTATGCGCCTTGTACTCGAAATAATAGGGTCGTTGGGTCTCTTTGTAGATCTGATAGTCTTTTGCAGTAAAGTTTTTTGCTGCCTTGCCATGATCTCACATTTGCATCCTAATGGGGTTCTGAAACAGCACTGTACCGTGGACATTTTGCATTTATTCTCGCAATTTGTCATCCGTGGCGAGTTTCCGCGGTTTAACAGGTATTGATAAGGAACACAAGGCTAGCTGTGTGCTGGCGCAGTTCCAATACCTTCGCAGTTCATAGCTGGCAATTGTTTTACGTGATAACAATAAATGACGTAGGCAGTCTACAACTGATATGAACGTTTCTTATAGGGAATCTGCACGCACCATTCTGATACAACAACTTTTTGTTCAGGTTTTACGAAACTACGAGACTTGAAGCTGTCTTCTTTTTTCGATCGCTCTCTCTCAGAAAACTTCAGACGACAACTTCTTTTTCAGCATTTTGAGCTTAATTTTCATGTAATACTCTAATAATGAAATCAGATAATCAACAAGACGTACCACAATCATAGTGCAGAAGTGTAGCAAATCTATCGATCGGCCTCGATTGGTGATACGAAGACCAAGTGAATAGCTCTCCTATTGTGTTATCAAGTCACGCCAAGTAATGGCGTCGTGTCGTCTGTGAGCTCTTTAGGTTTATCCAACAAAGGGTCATTCAAAAGTCTCCAGAAGTAGCGGTCGATTAAACAGAAGGGGGTGACCAGCCTTTCTGAGATGCGCCGTGCATCCGACTGTAGTAGCGAAAGCGAGAGGAAATAGCCTCTCCAACGGCTTTGGCTAGCTGACCATTATCGGTGCTTGCATAGCCTGTATGCCCTAACCATGGTAAACTGTACCAGAGTAGATTTGACACTTGCATCTGTTATGCGCGGACTTCAGGATGTGGCAAGACGATGGAAAAGCGAACGATTATTTGCAGATATCATTTACTGCGGCTCTGGACTGTCTCAGTTTCTGAAAGGCTGCTCATTGAGCAGGATGCAGCATCGTTAGGAGAATCACCCACAAGGGAAGGGGGTGGCGCGGTGGGCAGGTCTTCGGTCGTTGAGGAGAGCACCTCCAAGAAGAAATGTTCTGGGTCGCGAGGAAATTTTCTGCGGTCGCTGACTTTTCTCGGTTTATCCTGTTTAATGTTCGATGATGACGCCCTTCCCCCCCTCCCGCTCAGTGGCAGTTTCTTTTTTTGCGGGAAAGGCAAAACTATACTTGGAAAACTGAAAGAAATGGCAAGAAGTTGGAGAACTCAACTCGGAAAAATTGCTCTTTCGGCTTCTTCTCGCAGCAGTTGGCACGTCTATCTTACTATTATACCTGGACTTTTCTACTGATACTCCTGCATATCGTAGAGACTGAGAAAGGCTGGGTCAGTTGATCACGACGCGAATGGCTTCTGCTGGCATATTATGATTGAAGGACCATTGTATTCATGTGTTTGTCCGACACAAGGCACAGTGACAATCGTCTTTAATGGAAATATCCCAAAGTGTGCGCTCTCGTCCATGTTCAGATGAAGCACGCAGCACGCCTCCTCTATCTCTGGAAGATGGGGTGTGGATATGTTGCAGTTACTTTGCACAATTACTGCTTCCAGAGTGTCCTTTATAAAATTTACTTGATCATTTTCTAAATTAAGAAGAGCGGTTTCATTTACACACTCATACGGCACATGCACATCCGAAACTTCAAACAGCACATCATTCTAATTTCTCCTTACTCCCGTTTAGGTGTGTCACTTGCCCCTCTCGGCGGCAGTTTTTAGGGGAAAATGGAGAAATCTTTGAAAAAGATATAGGAAAAGTAATAGGAAGAGTTGCGAAATTTCGAGAAGGTTGATTATGGGGTATTGTTGCAAACGTATTCCTTAACGGCACGGCGTGCTCTGGAGAGAATGGATTCAAACATGAAAGAGAATGGCGTGGAGAAGTGTATTCGTCGTGTTCATCATTAGTTCCTCAATCATCTTAGATTCCCATATCTTACACTTACATTTTGATGAAAATTGAACTGATTTGTAAGAGAATGAAATTGTCGGCCAGCCATCGAGTGATTCCCGAGTTATCGAGTGAGATCTTTAACAAGCTTTATAAGCTTCCCATGGGATATTACTTAACAATTTTCTTCGGTTACGCTGTTATTTTGTTAGGAAAAAGTGTAGCTCGCCACCAGGCAAGCGAGTGGTATTAACAGAGAGACCACTCCTTGTTGTATAAGAGCTTACATTACCGGTTACCACTCTTGGTAATGGGCAAGTAATTTGAGTTCGGAAAAGAGTGACAGAACTTTCCCACCAACCTAATATGTGTGTATGTCTTTATTTTTTCCTTAAAAACTGAAAACTAATACTGAATAATATATGAATAATACTAGCCGGTGAATAGAAACTGGATAACTGAATACTTGGCTATGCGGGTTTGTATAATGCACTCATTTCACACCTCTGTCCCTCACAGTCGCAAACTTGCTCGTAGGGTGGCCTGGTTATAAGGCATAAGGCGCGATAATTTGGTACTCGCTCGGAAATACTAGTAGGGGTGCTATATAGAGGGAAAATGTCGATAAAAAACGGAGTGTAATGGTCAAAAACTTGCAGAAAAGAATGTGGTCTACACGACTCAGAAAACAATTTTGGCAATTTTCCCGTTGGCATCGTGCCAATTACCGCTGTGGTAGATACGAATGCAAGAATGCAGTCATATATCCATGCAGCAACCCACAGCTTCAAACCAATTCCTTCCCTTCATATTGCACTCCACCAATAAAGCTATACGAGCATTAGGTACGGTCGTCTATTTGTTTTCGGACAGACGGGGTGCACGTCCGGGTCAGCATGTTGCACGTTCATGGGGCGCTATGAGGGTACCTTTCCCGGAAAAGGCGCCATGCAGCGTTGCTTAGGGGCGCTGTCTTCTGTCCTGATAATCGTATTAGTGCTACTCGGAATCCGAGCCGTTTGCCGTCAAATGGTTGTTTGCTCCCTTCTGACCTTCCCTCAACTGCCAGTTGTGTGAAAATAAGTGAAGGAAATTTTTAGCGAATAATAAGTATTATCCAATCAAGAAATTCAATGCATGAAAAAGATGAATCGCGAACGTTCCTAGAAGAGAGTGTGATAAAACTTTACAGAAGTGGTGGCGCGCATGAACATCTTCCGTCAAAACTCCTCAATATGTCCGTAAGACACCCCACCTTAAACTAGAACTTGGTTCGTTCTCTCACTTTCCAACTTTTTCTGACCACCGAATTCTTCTTGGTATGCGTATTTTCAGTGCCACGAGTTAATGGAAAATCAAGTTCGGCATTTTCTGAAAATAATTATGGCAGCGTGAGGTTGACAAAAGCCATAAAATAAAGCAATACACTCTCGAAGCCAAACTATTAACAAGTGTAAGTTTAGAGCTTTGGACTAGAACCCGGCGCCACACCCGCTCTTTAGAGGACGGGACTAGAATTACTCACTAGTTGGTTAATCCTGGCGACCAGCGGTAAGGGTACAGCCCCGCTGTGTGAAACAGGTAGGGGAGGGTCGTAGTTTTCCGCTGGAGCCGGGGGGGGTCGTATTTTGTCGTTGGGGAGTGGGGGACTTTATGTGGCTTTGAGAGGAATTTGCAGCGTAGGGAAAATTTTTGGGTGACAAACTGGAGTATGAGGGAAGTTGGTAGGCAAGTGGTTGTGGAGGGGGGAGGGGTCGCAGCGGTACCCTCACTTAGGTGCGGGGTCGCACTGACACCCTCCTTCGAAGGGGGGGGGGGCGTCGTACCTACACACTACTTCACACATCACTGTGCTCTACCCTGCAAGCGGTACATTCTAGTTCATCAGAGGTCACTGACGCACAACTCCTGAGCGGTAATGGCAATCAGCCACTCAGGTTAGAGATCGGACATTGGCATTGGCCACTAAAGCCACAAACACT